CGGCCACGGATGGTGGAACGGAAGGCACGAGGGATAACCAGGAGGCCGGAGCCAGCCGGGCAGACGCAGTGGGTGGTGGAGTGGGAGATGAGTAGGTTAATTAGGTAGGGAGGGGCGAGGGAATGAAGTGATTTGGAAACGAGCGAGAGGATCTTGAAATCGATTCCGAGCCGGGGGAAGGGAGGAGGTGACCGTAGACACGGATGAAAGATTGGGTCCTTAACAGGTTCAGTAACTTTGACAACTATTAACTATTAAATCTGTTGTGATTCACCCGTAGTTTTTATTTATTCAGACAGAGTTGACTTAGAATTTCTCAAACCTTCTGGAGTTCAGGGACAGATCAGTTCACAAGGTACTTGCGTAGATCAATGGAGAACCTTTAACGTCGATTTCACGCTTCCGTCATAACATTTTAAAGTGAAAAANCCTTTCTGGTGTATGGGAACTAAAAAAAAAGTTACAATAAATAATCCTTGCATTCGATATAGCGCCTTATCACGTTCTTTGAGACGTCTCAAAGCACTTCACAGAATACACTGTAAAGTTAATTGACTGTATATTTTGTGGGCGAAACGATACAGCCAATTACACACAGCAGCGTCCCACACAGTCAGATGTGGATCAAAGTGACCAATTTTTTTTTATAAAGGAATTATTATCCCTGGGAAAGCGATCCGCTTGTCTCTTTCTAAAGTAGTTGTCTCTATCTAAAATTGCTTTTAAAAATGGCAGCGATAAGGAGGATGAGAGAGAAACCATTCTCCTGAAGTCAGAGGTGCACAGTCCTAAACCTGTCACTGTAATCATAGTATAATAATAATCTTTGCATTTGATATAGCGCATTCTCACGTTGTTAGATGTCCCAAAGCGTTTCACAGAATATACTGTAAAGTGAATTAATTGTATATTTTGTGGACGAAAAGTGGCAGCCAATTGCGCGCAGCAGCGTCCCACAAACAGTCGTGGGTTGAGTGACCAAATTATTATTTTTTTACTAAAGAGTTTCACTAAAGATTTTCAGTGGATAAGGTGTTCTGGCAACTAAATAAAAGGAATGCCTATAGGAACACCACAATTTTAACCCTTATGGTTCTATGGTTAGATCTTTCCATATGTAGCCAATGGCAAGCTGTACGGCTTTAACCGGTTAGATTCCAGTGGACTTTGGACGCACACTTTGGCGTCCCCAAGCCTTGGCTCTTGCCAACCTGTGCCTAATATTCTCTGGAATTAGGTCAGCAGGGTGCATTCCTCCAAGGAGAGAGTGCATGTTGCGTTCCAGACATAGGATAATTTCCACGTGTAGGTGGCACACATATGTGGAACCATAAATCAGGTTTGGAAGCATGGTGATGGGTTTCTGCATGGGTCAGACACCACCTGACTGACCCAAAAAAGCTTTTTTTCCCCCCTATTACTCAACAACAACAACTTGAATTTGTATAGTGTCCCTCATGCAGGGTAGTATCTCCGAGCTCTTGACAATAGCAGAGCACAACGCCAAGCCGGGGGGAGCGGGGAGATGGCTGTTGACATGGTCAAATAGGAAGATCTTCAGGTGTGACCTGAAGATGGGGAAGGAAGGGGCGAGGCAGAGGGATAGAGGAAGAGTGTTCCAGAGTTTCAGGGAGAAATGACTGAAAGCGTGGCCACCAATGGTAGAACGGAGGGCACGAGGGACATGCAGAAGGCCAGAGCCAGCGAGCGGAGGCAGCGGGTTGGGGGTTGTGGGGTAAGCAGGTCAGAGAGTTAGGGAGGTGCCAGAAACAACAACAGCGTTTGTATAACGTCTCTGACACAGGGTAGTGTCCCAGAGCGCTTGAAACGCTCAGATGTCAAACAATAAGGCATAACGTTCACACACTGAACATGCGAGAGGGAATATTACCAAGAGACTTTTGGGAAGGTCTAAACCTGCGTTACATTCTCTGTCTGTGTTGGTTCCCTGCTAGTTTGTCTGCTCACATGGAAAATTGCTTCACCAACTTCCCAGGGTAAAATAAGTGAATGACCACAGGGCATCAGTAATTTAACGGCTGTGTTAATATGGTAATGAAGCTGTTTTCTGGTTTGTTTTCTATCAGAATAGGAAACTGAGAACATATACCAACCCCTGTTATTGCTTAAAACAAGACTGGAAGTTCACTGTGACCCTTGCTAGATGGGTAAAAAAATATCAAGGCAATGTTAGGGTTAGGGTTAGGGGAAGTGCTGTGCTGGGGGAAGTGCTGCATGGTTGGAAGTGCTGTACTTCAGATGAGTCATGAAACTGAGGTCCTGCTCATAAAGAATATAGCATCATCAAGACATCTCAAAGAGCTTCATGACTTCTCAAAGGTATGTGGAGTAAGGAAACTTGCCTGAGGTTTCGTCCTGCCTGGGAATCGAACTCTGTGTCCTCTCGGTTGCAAGGCGAGTGCTCTAACCAATACACTACAGGACTCTGAACCATGGTGATGAGTTTCTGAGTGTCAGACCATATGCTTTTGAAGGCAGGGTGCGTAAACTACATATGATATTAATGTTTTAGAGACTGGATCAGCCTTTCAGCAGATCAAGCCTACCCAGTCCATCACACTATTTAGTCCAATTGATATACAAGAATGAGTTATACAGTGCTCGGGTCAGGTCACACTTACAGTGCTGTTACAGCCTGGTCACTGTGACAAAAGGCCCTAAAGACAGAGCAGAGGAAAGGAGATTTAGGAGCATCCAATCTGGAATAGGCTTGTTTGACTATTGAGCCTGCTCCACCACTAAATCTATAACAACTCCGTAATAACAATCTTTGCATCTGACCCAACGGCTTTCATATCGGGAGGATGTCTCAAAGCGCTTCAAGGATTCACCGTAAACAGTAGTGTGTATTTTCTATTTAAGTCCCATTTCCCTGCTTTTTCTCCATATTATCCCGACTTGCCACTTAATTAGCTTGGTTTCAACCATAAAATATAGTCAATCAATACAGTATATCCTGTGAAGCACCTTGAGACGTCTCAATGACCCAATGAGGCGCTCTATCAAACTCAAGGATTATCATTATAGGAACTCGAAACACAACGGCGTGTTTTCACTGCGTGCGAATAATAAGAGCAGAGCGAATGACTTTATCAAACGAGCAAACACGACAAACGAACAAAAACCACTGAGCAACGACTGACAGAAGTGCACCAGTTCTGGATTTGCCGCTTCAAACCCTTCCCTGGAGAACAGAATGCATCTCCAGGGCATCTCGTGCTTTGAATAAAATGTGGTGCTCAGCACAATGCCTTCCTGACAGCGTCACCTTATTTAAAAAAAAACGCCCTGGGGAATCCTCTTGTGCTTCACTGTTGGGACATTTGCCAAGTCAAGGTACGTACACAAATAACCTTTTTAGTGAAGGCTTTTTAATGAATTATTGACTAAAATGTTTACTTAGCAGTGTTTTGCATTGGAATATTCATAATTTAATAAGGAAATCACTGCCTTTATGTCCTTGTCTTCTTGAAACACACGTTGGCCTACATTTAATGCATCTCATAGTTAGGGCACGTTGTAAAGTAGCCGGATAGGTTCACAGGCTACTATTTTTTTTGCTGTGTTTGAGGGTTTAGGTGAACACAACTCTGCATTATGCATTCATCCAAATCTCTTTGCGAAAGAGTTAGGAATAACTTAATCTCCCTTGAGGACTCTTTACATCTCTCCCTCCCCCTGGCCTTTTGAGTTTATGTTTATGAATCTTTTTTNGTTTTAAGTGATGAGTGTTTGCCTGCTGTTCAGGTGAACTTTCAAGATCTCTCCTGCAGTTTCCTGGCCAACAATCCGCCAGTTAAATCAATTGCTCATCTCAGGGCTTTGTTGTGTGTAAAATATCTTCCTCGTTTGTCCTTACGATGTGGAGTCCAGTAGCGTAATGGTTAGTGCACTCGTCTCTCAAGCGAGTGGAGCCGGGTTTGATTCCCGGGCAGGCTGAAACCTTCGGCAAGTTTCCTTACTCCCCCCACCTCGATTTACTGTTGACTGGCTGATCACTTTGCGGGGGTAATAATCCTTCCCAAAAAAAAAAGAATTTGGATGCCTTATCGCATCTTCGAGACATCTCAATGCGCTTCACAGAATATACTGCAAAGCGAATTGACTGTATATTTAATGGGCAAAACGCGGCAGACAATTGCCCACAGCAATAAATAACATCCACACGGCAACACAGTGTTAATAACCAACCTGCGTTATAAACAAGCGGGTTATGACAGAGCAGTGCTGCAAGTTGTATAATAGGCAATTAACAAAAAGTGACCTTAAATCTCTGACATTGGAGCAGGGACAGGAGGAGGTGGGAGTGGAGTCCAAAAAATAGTAGGTTGTTGTTGCTGTTGAGTTGGGAAGGGTTTGGAGAGCCTACAAGTGCATTGTACAGTACACCTCACATACGTCGTACCAGTTGGGACCATATTTAATACGACTTATGCAAAGTATGAGTTGCGTTAAACTTGCACAGAAGGTAAACCCTTGAACAGGACTTGGTCAGATGCGTACAACTTAGGCGATGATACGATTTATACAGATCAGACCTGTGCGAGTTTTTACTGTACAAAGAGCCCAGTGAGTGTGGCACCACAGCACAAAGTGTGCTCAATGTGCCACACCATTGACAATCTTAGTCAGGGGTCAGAAACGATGAGTTGAATAGCCAGCTCGCCAATTTGCGAAAACATTTATTTAAGATCAACTTACTCACACTGTCGTTGTCCAAAATTGAATCACACGCGCTATATAATTCAGTCGGTCACCCGGGGAACAGGGTTATAACACAAACCTTCCATAATCGCTGTGATAACATGTGTCTGCCTCTGTCACTGTGGTAACATTCACCTGTCCGTGCCACTATGATATCATGAACTTGCCCACAGTTACTGTGATGGCATGTACCTGCCCCAGTGACTGTGAGACCAATACCTGATGAATTGTGTTTTAAACAGCGAGAGAGAGAGAGAGAGAGAGAGAGGACTCACAGCTGGAGAAGATCAGGGGACAGGAATGTTCATCCATCGGAAAGTTCTGGAGCTGCAGCTGACACTCCGCAATTATTGTTAGTCTGCAGAGAGCACACAACACATATATCAGTAACGCTTTCATCACCAGCATTCTGCACTCCAGACCCCTTCCCACCCCCCCCCCACCTGCCCACACTCCCCCCACCTGCCCACACTCCCCCCCACCTGCCCACACTCCCCCCACCTGCCCACACTCCTCCCCACCTGCCCACACTCCCCCCCCACCTGCCCACATTCCCCCCACCTGCTCACACTCCCCCCACCTGCTCACACTCCCCCCACCTGCTCACACTCCCCCACCTGCTCACACTCCCCCCACCTGCTCACACTCCCCCCCACCTGCTCACACTCCCCCCCACCTGCTCACACTCCCCCCACCTGCTCACACTCCCCCCCCACCTGCTCACACTCGGCCCCCAACCTGCTCACACTCCCCCCACCAGCTCACACTCCCCCCACCTGCCTACACTCCCCCCATCTGCCCACACTCCCCCCACCTGCTCACACTCCCCGACTGCTCACACTCCCCCCACCTGCCTACACTCCCCCCATCTGCCCACACTCCCCCCCACCTGCTCACACTCCCCCCCACCTGCTCACACTCCCCCACCTGCCCACGCCCCCCCACCTGCTCACACTCCCCCCCACCTGCTCACACTCCCCCCACCTGCTCACACTCCCCCCCACCTCCCTACACTCCCCCCAACTGCTCACACTCCCCCCCACCTGCTCACACTCCCCCCACCTGCTCACACGTAACAACAACACCTTGCGTTATATAGCACCCCCCCAGCAGGATAGTGTCCTACAGCACTTGACGGAAACTAAAGAAATGGTTGACTTGTTAAATAAATACTTTGCTCCCGTTTTTACAGTGGATGATCAGGACAAATTACCAGCCATACGGGGGGAACCTAAAAATAAGTTAAAGAGAAATGCTTGATAAAATTAATATAAATAAAAAATGGTACTGGAGAAAATAATGAGACTCAAGATATCAAGAGAGACAAACCTCCAGGACCTGATAGTTTCCACCTCAGGTGTTAAAGGGAATAGAAGAGCAAATTGCATATTGCATTCGTCATAATTTTCCAAAGCTCACTGGATTTGGGAATTGTGCCCTTAGATTGGAAAATTGTGAATGTCACCTCTTTATTGAAGAAGGGAGGGAGGGAGAAACCAGGAAACTACAGACCTGTCAGCTTAACGTCAATCATAGGGAAAATACTGGAATCCATCATCAGAGACAGAGTGACTGAACACTTGGACAGGTATGAGCTCGTCAAAGAGAGTCAGCGTGGGTTTGTGAAGGGGAGGTGGTGTCTGACTAATCTCGTTGAATTCTTTGAGGAGGTCACTAAAACGGTGGATAAGAGAGTGTCTATGGATGTCGTTTATATGGACTTTCAGAAGGCATTTGATAAGGTTCCACACAAAAGATTATTAGCGAAAATGGAAGCGCGTGGAGTAGGAGGTAACCTTGTGACGTGGCTTGGAAATTGGTTGGAAGGTTGGAAACAGAGTAGGGATAAAGGGAACCTTCTCTGTTTGGCGGGACATGGCAAGTGGTGCTCCCCAGGGGTCTGTACTATTCGCCATATATATAAATGACTTGGATGAAGGAATAGAAAGTCTTATATCTAAGTTTACAGATGACGCTAAACTAGGAGGCACAGTAAGTTGTGTAGATTGGAGTAGGAATTTACAAAGGGAATTAGACAGATTAAGTGAGTTTGCAAAGCTGTGGCAGATGGAGTTCAATGTAGGGAAGTGTGAGGTCATCCACTATGGACCGAAAAAAAATAAAGAAGAATATTTTCTTAATGGGGAGTAACTAAGAACTATGGAGGAGCAAAGACATTTGGGTGTCCATATCCACAAATCGTTAAAACTAGTTCCCAGGTGCAAAAACTAATCAAAGAAGGCGAATAGTATGTTGGCCTTTATCTCAAGGGCCTGGAATACAAAGGGGAAGAAATGATGCTTCGGCTGTATAGAGCGTTAGTCAGACCCCATCTGGAGACTGCGTTCAGTTTTGGGGACCGCACCTTAAGAAAGATACATTGGCCCTGGAGGGGGTGCAACACAGATTCACCAAAATGCTACCAGGCCTAAAAGGGTTAAGTTACAAGGAAAGACTGCGTAGACTTGGATTGTATTCCCTTGAGTATAGAAGGTTGAGGTGTGATTTGATTGAAGTATTTAACGATGATGAAGGGATTTGAAAGTGTAGATACAGAGAAGCTATTTCCTCTGGTGGGGAATCCAAAACAAGGGGGTGGAGCCTTACGATTAAACCCAGACTATTTAAGAGTAAATCAGGAGAATTTTTTTCACACAAAAGGTGGTAGAAATCTGGAATTCTCTCTGCCAAAAGGCTGTGCATACTGGATCCTCCACACCTTCAAGAGTGAGGTGGATAGATTTTATGGTAGGTCAGGGTATTAAGGGATATGGAGAGAAAGCGGGAAATTGGAATTGACAGGATCAGTTGAGGTACAGATGGCGGAACAGTCGTTCCTTCCTATGACAGTGGTGGAGCTCGGGGGTATTAATACCTCCCCCAAAAAAATTTGGTAACTCAATCCACGACTGTTTGTGGGTCACTGCTGTGCACGATAGGCTGCTGCGTTTCGCCCACAAAATATACAGTCAATTTACTTGATGTGATGCTACAAAAATGAAGGTTATTTCTTACTTTAAATAAGGATGCAACATAGGGTAGAATAAGAGGACATAGATTCAGTTGTAAAGGGCGATTTCAGGACAGACATCAGGAAGTTTTCTTTACTGAGAGGGTAATTAGTGACTGAAATTCATTCAATAATAATAATAATCCTTGCATTTGATATAGTGCCTTACCACATGTTTGAGACATCTCAAAACGCTTCACAGAATATACTGTAGATATTCGGCAGCCAATTGCGCACAGCAATGTCCCACAAACAGTCATTGATTGAGTGACCAAATTTTTATTGCATTGGATGAGCCGAAGGGCTCTCTTCATCCAAACTAATCTTGTGATCTTAGTACTCTTTAGCCTTGTTTAATGGCCTCTGTATCAGGTGGTTTTCACATCAGAAAGGTTGCTTTATTACAGTTCCTATTATGGTATGCTTACATGAGGTTGTAAAGCCACCATTAATAATTTAGATTTTAAAGCAACCGATTTCATTCAATTTAATAATAATCTTCATGCCTCTAATGCCAAAATGTCTCAAAAGTAATTGCTGTCAAATGCAGGGTCTTTGTATTTGTAGGCAAAGCCAGCAGCCAGTTTGAGTGCAGCAAAATCCTACAAAAAGACATACTAATAATATTTCCATTTGATATAATGCCTTATCATGTTGTTGACACATCTCAAAATGTTTCATAGAATATACTGTAAAGTGAATTGACTGTATCTTTTGTGGGGCCAAACACAGAGGCACATAGTAAATTGCGTGACCAAATTATTATTATTATTTTTGAAGGGATTATTATTATTATTACACCAGCAATTCAATCCACCAATCAACTAACAACCAGGTTCCTACTCACTGCCAGGTAAACAGAGATGTGCGGAGTAAGGAAACTCCTCTAAGGTTTCGCCCTGTCCGGGAATCAAAACCAGGTACTCTTGCTTGTGAGGCGAGTGCTCTAACCAATACGCTACAGAACTCCATGAATGCTCGATTTGCCTGGTGATTGTTGGCCAGGACACCTTAACAATGTGACGGGATCTTCAACATTCACACGACCAGTGTTCCTCCAGCGTAGTGTCAGCCAAGCTTCTGACAGTGGATTGAACCCACAACCTTCTCAACCAAGGACGAGAATGCGGGCAACTGAGCCAGGCCGACAGCTTGGTCTTCTGTGTCCAGGCTGCAAGTATCTACTAATGTTTAGCCAGATTGCTTTGCCGCCATCTTACCTCAACGTGTACAAGATTTTCCCATCGTTCCATATCCTGAGCAGCTGGTTAGGTGTCGTGATCCAATGCGCTTCCGCAGTCTTGGAATTCCTGAAGATTGTGTCCGGGATCCATATCAGCCCAACCATGTTGCTGTTTAGTGTTAGGATTTTCATCGTGCTGTTGAACCGGAGGCGGTCGTCAGTCCAGGTTTGAGCAAAGAAGATATCAATGGTGTATTCCTGTAAGACAAAGAGAACGCATCATAAAACCCCTGAAGAACAAATCCACTTGCACACATAATTCTGGCTTCGTACAAAAAAAAAACCTTGCTGATCAGCTCTTGAGAATAATCGATTCAAGGTGTAGAATCTTTGATCAATCAAGGTCTTGAGACGGGCCTTGAAGGAGGCAAGGGAGGGGGTGAGGCGGAGGGATTCTGGGATGGAGTTCCATAGGATGTGGGTAGAGTCCGCCGAGCAGAGGGAGTGGACAGGTTGGTAACGGTTCAGTAAGTCGCAGAGGTATGGAGGAGCAAAATGGTGGAGGGCTTTGAAAGTGAAGATGAGGATCTTAAATTCCATCCTCTATTTTTATGAACATGTATTTTTATAACGTGATTATGAAACTGGCATTACTCTGTGACCCACTAAACCTTTACCAACCTGTCCGGTCCCTCCGATTGTCAGGCACCGGCCTGCTCCACGTCCCCCTCCCTGCCCATTCCACCACCGGAGGTTGGGTCTTTAGCCTTTCTGCATCCACCCTCTGGAACTCCATCCCTTGCCCCCTTCAGAGACGGTCTCAAGACCTTCCTCTTCGACCAAGCCTTCGGTCATCTTTCCACCCTCACTCTCCTTGCCCTCCACCCTTCCTGAACCCAGGCCGCAGCTCGGGTGCAAATGCTTCAATATTCAGAGTTTTGGGATGTCCTCCCGGCGTGAAAACGCTATATAAATGTGATTTGTAGTTGTTGATGAGCTGAATAGTCTTCTGTTATGCTACGCAGTTCTATGGATATCTGTCAGATATGAAAAGCAGAGATGCGCTGTAAATGGTGAGGCAAAACGTGAGCAGCATTTAAGAACCAGTCTTGAAATGACTTCCCTGTAGTATTTTGACAGTGTCAGTTTCAATAAGTGGTTCTTACGCTGTCTTTCCTCAGTTTGTTTTACCAGCAGTGGCCGTCACCATCACGCTGACAGCCAGTATGTTCCATGTTAGTGCACTCAGAAGGCTCCATCAAGGAAGCAATCATTGACAGATTACTGAGTGACAAACAATACTTAATTAATACTGAAAACAATGTTTGTGCTCACCAGATTGCAAGATAGGTTCGGATACAGAAGGCCCTTCAGCCCATTTGATCTCCTCCTTCCATTACAACCCCCAATCCTTCCTCCTTTATACAGCATTGAATCATTTCTTAAATCAGTCCCAATGTGGCCTCACCCACCTTTGCTGGTAACCCTGTTCCAGTCAATATTCCACTCAATGTAAAGGAATACTTCCTGGTGCTTGTCCTGAAATTGTCTTTCCTATCCCTAATCTGGTGCCCTCTTGTTCTACTGCCCTTGGATTATTTGAAACAATCCCCTACATAAAATTGGTCATTCACTTCATGGTTTGTTTGTGGGATGTTACTGTGAGCGTATGGTCTGCTTCATTACCTACAAATATACAATCACTACATTTAACATAAGAACATAAGAAATTCTAGATGAAAAAGGACCAAGGTACATTTAGTTTGCCTTCCACCTTCCAGGCGGTCGCATGCACATATGTCCCAAACTGCCTATGTACTGTATCCCACAATGCTATTTCCTAAAACTATCTAATCTGTGTTTGAAAGAATCAACATTTCCTGTTTCAATCGTCTCCCTAAGGGAACCTGTTCCACAGGTTCACTCTTCACTCACTGAAATAGTGTTTGCGTAGATTTGTTCTGAATTTATCCCCTTCAATCACAGGCCATGTCCTCTGGTTTTACTCTGGACAAGATGAAACAGCCGGTCATGATCTATATTGTTGCCCCTTTAGAATCTTAAAGACAGTAATCACGTCACCTCTCAATCTTCCGTTCTCCAGCGTGAACATGCCCAATTTATTTACATTTTACAGTAAATTGGTGAAGCACTTTGAGATGTCTGGATGATGTGATAAGGTGTTATATCAATGGCTAGGATTCCAGCGCCTTGGGACATCCTCCCGACGTGAAAGGTGTTATACAAATGTCATTTTGTTGTTGTTGTATTATATTAACTTGGAGTCCTGTAGCTCAGTGGTTAGAGCACTCGCTTTGCAAGTGAGAGACCTGAGTTCAATTCCGGGCAGAGGGCGAAACCTTGGGCAAGTTTCCTTACTCCACACAGAGCCTAATAATAATACCTCCAAAACCAAAACCAATAATAAATTGGTCATTTTCAATCTACGACTGTTTGTGGGACATTGCTGTGCGCAATTGGCTGCCGCGTTCGCCCACAAATATACAGTCAATTCACTTTACAGTGTGTTCTGTGAAGTGCTTTGGGACGTCCTCCTGAGGTGAAAAGCGCTATATCAAACGCAATATTATTATTATTATTATTACATTGCAAGTTGGGGCTTTTCAGCTTTTAAAAGAGTCAACTTGTAGATACGTCAGAGTAGCAGAACAAGAGGGCAGTTATTACCCTCTGGATAAAGAAATATTTCCTGCTGTCTGTCCTGAAACTAGTTTCTTGAATGGGTTAATAGGAAGGGTGGTTGAGGCCGGGACACTAGAACCATTTAAGAAACATCTTGATGCTGTGATGGGAGCACAATAGCATAGGCATTTTGGAGGGATGCCATCAAATAGATCAAAGGATCTCCGTCATCCAAACCTCTCTTATGAATTTTGTGATATCCATTGAAGATAGAATTCTCCACTTTACTGATAACTATTGAAGAGAAATTCTTCCCTTTCTGATCGGCCACAAAATATAGTCAATTAACTTTACATTATATTCTGTGAAGTCGTCTTGAAGATGTCATAAGGTGCTATATCAAATGCAAGGATTATTATTAGTATTGATGAGCGAAGCAGGCAATTATTGGTTTATGTTTGTTTTCTCTTGAACAAAGTTGTCAAACCTCCATAAACCTCCTGTTTTTAACCCGCCATTTTGTTCCTATACTACAGCCTGGTAGGGTGAAGCGTTAGGCAAGTTTTCTTATTGCACACACCTCTGATTATCTAGCAGTAGTTAGAAACCTGATTGTTAGTCGATTGGTGGATCGTTTTTCGAGGGTAATAATCCCTTAAAATAAAACAACAATTTGGTCTCTCAATCCATGACTGTTTATGGGACTCTTCTGTGTCTAATTGGCTATCATGATTCGCCCACAAAATGCACAGTCAATTCACTGACAGTATTGTCCTGTGAAGCGCTTTGAGACGTCTCAACAACGTGATAAGGCGCTGTATCAAATTCAAGGATTATTATAGGATTACTATGATTTATCAAAAGTGTGTCCTTCTGATGTGGCACTGAACCGAGGTCGTGTCCGCCTGGATAGGTAGTCTGTGAGCTGAAATCTGTGGCTATTTCAGTAAGCTGACGGCCTTTTCCAGCTTGTGCTGTGAAGGAATCAAAGCGAATTGCTGGACGAAGACAAAAACAAAGCAAAATGGCTTTCGCCACAAAGCTGAGAACAGCTTCTGTCAGCCGCAGCTGTGCACAGCTGGACCAAAAAACAATAATCAGTGTAATTGTAAGTGACCTTTCAGCGGATTCACATTCATAATTAGGGTGCATATGTACTTTGAAATTATAGCAGGAAGAAATGAACTCACATCATGCCTGCCACACCACGTCAGCATATAATATGTGGTTTTGTCAAATATGCATTGTATTGTACTTCCCGCATCGGAAGCCTGATGGTGTGCACGCAGAACATCGAATTGGCCTTTTTTTTTTTACTTTGAGAATCATTTCACTTTTTGCACTTGTTATTTATGTCAGCCTGGCGCGGTGCTAGCTCTCGTCTCCGAGTCAGAAGGTTGTGGGTTCAAGCCCCACATCGGGACTTGGATCTCAGACAGTCAAGGCTCACACTCCATTGCTGTATTGTCGGAGGAGCCGTCGTTCGGATAAATTGAGGTCCTGTCTGCCTGTTCAGGTGGACGTTAAAGATCCCATGGCGCTATTTGAAAAGGGAAGAGAGTCTCTCTCTTCCGGTGTCCTGGCCAACAATCCCCCCAAATAAAATTGGTCACTCACTTCATGGCTGTTCGTGGAACACTGCTTTGTGCAAATTGGCTGCCACTTTGACCCACAACATATACAGTGTATCATGTGAAGCACTTTGAGATAGTTTCCTGGTGTGAAAGGTGCAAAGATCGTATTCTTATTATTTTTTTTTACTCTATTATTGTGTGTCAGCCTAGCGAAGTGATGGCGCTCTTGCCTCTGAGTTCCTGCTTAAAATCTGGCAAGTTGCATTTGTGGGAGGAGAAGTCATTAGATGTGGCAATGTGCAGATGGTGCTGAGCCAGGATTCTGCAATCTCGCACACTGATGTATGTTCTGCCGGGGTTTGAAGATCTTAGGATTATTGTGATGGTATTTACCTAGAGAGCGAGATCCCTTGTTCTTCATCCCCGAGCTCATATTTCAGAGCTTCCTCATGGGATACTGATGGGGTTCAGTCGATAACTTGTGAATCGACACAGAACACAGTCCTCCACTATCAAAATCAATATACCAATAATCCTTGCATTTGATGTAGGGCCTTAGTGCATCATTGAGATGTCTTTAAGTGCTTCATATGATATGACTGTGTATTTTGTAGGTGAACATGGCAGCCAGTTTACCCACAACAAAGTTCCACAAACGGCCATAAACTGAACAATAATAATATTAATCCTTGCATTTGATATAGAACATTGTCAAGTCTTCGAGACATCTCAGAGCTCTGTGAATTGACTGTATATTTTGTGGGCGAAACACACCATTCAGTTGCGCACAGTGAATTTTATTTGGGGGATTGTTGGTCGGCACACCAGGAGAGAGGAACTGTCTTCTCTTTTCGAAAGGGAGATGGAATAGAATCTGTGGGCACAACCACTGAGGTAAAGTCTTTAGCAATCGATGGTGATATTTCGTGAGATTCTATAACAGATTCCATAATGGACATAAACTGCTATGAAACCACAATCTTCACCCATTGTATCTGAAACCAGAATACGTCTCCCATGGGCTCTTCAAAGGTTAGTCTT